ATTACGCGCCATTCCGCGGCATTGTAAAAAGTGTTGAAGGTGTCTGGGTTAATGCACAAACAAATTGCATTTAGGGAGCACCAAAAGCTGCCTTGTAACAACTTTTTTGCTCCTAGTCTGACAAGCAGTGCGAGGTGTGCTTACAAAGTTTGGGAAGTGTAGAAGGGTATGCAAGTAACGTTTGTTTGATTTTCGAATTTTATTATTTTGAATCAGCATTTAAAAAAAATATATTTCTGCGTTTTTTATTTTATTATATTTTTCGGGTTTTTTTTTTTTTGTTTTTTTTTAATCAGCTTTTTTTTTTATAAATATATTTCTGTTTTTTTTTTTTTCGCTCTGGCCCAAAAAAAATTGTTATTTACAATTAATTCTTGGTAACAAATAATAAATAAATAAATAAATATTTCTGTTTTATTTTATTTAGTTCAGTTTTATCTCACTTATTGTCTTAGATTTTTTTTTTTACCGCTTTTGGTCTAAATCTTAGCTTGATTGAATGAACCTGGTAGAGCAACATATCGTACATATTGAATCTATATTTATTTATTCCTTACCCCATTCTACTTTACCTCTGCGCTATCAAGATTTGGACTATATATTTGCTCTCATTGCTATACTATACTTTACTATACTAAACCATGCTATACTACACTATACCTTACTATACTATGCTATACTATACTATACGATACTATACTATACTATTAATAGCCAGTCCATTAGTTTATGTCCCGAAATTTGTTGCTGTGTATTTTGGAATGCTTTTGAAACTTATGTGATTGAGCTTAGAGTCAAGAATGTGCTCAAGTTGAATGCAGAAGGCCGAATAGCAACAATGCCAGCAATTTAAAGCCACAACACTTAAAGTGCGAAATTTCGTGAGTGTGTACATGTCTGTGTGTGTGCCTGCGTGTGTATGAGTTTATCTGTGTGCCACATTATGCCTTGTTAAAAATGCCCAAAGAGTGAAAGGGCTACACAAACTGAAGTGAAAAGTTGTACATGCGTGTGAGAGAGTGCGTATATATATGTGTGTGTGTGAGTGTGTCATCATCGTGTTAACAAAAGAGCATACTCAAGTTTCATACGAAATGCAATTCCACTTTTGCGCACTTTATGTCAACATGTTGTACGTAAATCTTTGTGTAAGACTATGCCAAACGCTTTGCCCTCGGTTCACAGGGTGTTTCCTCCCACTCAACTGTCATACACTAGGACACTGTCCGACTGGGTGGTATAGCTTACAGCTCGCTATCTCGCTCGCATTACACCACTCTTACTATCTCTCTCGCTCTCTCTCTCTCTCTCGCTTCGCTACGGTGTAAAAGTGTCAAAAGTGCTTGAAATTTCAGCAGGCTTTACAGATAGACAGACAAAAACTGGGTGAAGCGACGCTGGGTCCGGCGGGAACAGGAGAGCCCAGGCCGAAGGGGTTGTCGTTGGAGTAGAAACTGGACAGTCGCCAGGCCCGAGGCCCTAGTATTTTTATGTCTCGAGCCCATTGAATGCGAACAAGTTGGGTATAATGTTTTTGTTGAAATGCATTTCTTGGTAATATGCGAGCTCTGGGAAGCTCATAAAGTTTGAAGTTTACATATTCAGCTTAGAATAGCCTGCTGTAGGCTTGTTATTCAAAACTAGAGACAGAAATTTTACTACTTGGTTCTACTCTTGGTTCTACTCTTGGTTCTATCATGTTTGATTTTAAATTATAGTAATTTCCCATTTCCATGAAAACTTTTTGAAAGCAATGCAAAAGTTGCATCTAAAATCTGTTAAAAGTTAATTTCATTATAATTAAATATACATATATAATTATTTAATAGTTTATATATTTTCACTATATGTCTCCCATTGTAAATAAATCATATAATTTAATAGTTATTCAAACAAACCGAAATGAAAAAGGAAAAAAAAACAGCAACAGAGGCCTGGGTATCTCTTAGTCGTGCACTCCCCATGTGTTTACTTGTTATTTTATGCTGCGTCAAAAACAGCTCAAATGCAGAAATCACGCTCATATGCTCACTTGCATGCAAAGTCAAAAGTCTCTTTGAGTGTGTCACACACACACACACACATGCATACACAGGCACACACACACACACGCACATGAATAATTTCTCTTTGGCCAGCCGTGTTGCTTTCTTCATGCCTCTTCCTTTTTTTTCAGTTGGAATTTGGTGCTCCTTGCTGGCAAACATTTGATATGCGTATTTGTGTTGCGCTTTTTCCCTTTGGCTGCTATCCAAAATCTTGCGAGAACTGTTTAGCCGATGCAAATAAACAAACATGCCGCTAGACATTGCAACACTCACACCCATGCACCCATACACCCGCACACCCGCACACCCGCACACCCGCACACCCACACAACACCGCCTTAAGCCACTCGAGGGCCGTATCATCAACGTGTGTGTGTGTGTGCAGTTGCCATGAAATATTTGGCGCTTGCAGCGCTTTTCACTTTGTGGCTGCAACCGAAAGCGAGAACCTTTTGCTTGCCAGCAAAGCCGGAAGTCGAGGCAAGCTCTCATGAAAACCAAAACAGCTGGCATTCCAAGCCGTGCCCGCCTCCTCAGCACTTGGCGATACTGCTCCTTGTTAGCTGTTGATTGTCTTCGAATACACTACTCGAAGTGGAGGAGTCTCATGACAGTTGACGATGGCTTTAGCATGTGCATAACATTTTGCATATAACAAAATAAGGTTCATAAGGTATTTTATTCGAATAGTGTTGAATTGTATGTTTTATTTTTTTGCTTAAATAGTTAAATACTTAATTGAAATAAATTTAAGTACATTTTTTAATTTGACTTTGCTTCTATTGTAGCAAACTGTGGATATCCTTTAGAACCTGCAGAGCCCACTACAGATGTATCTGCCCATTAGACTAATAAGGCTTGAAGAAGTAACTGCAGGGATTCAAGCTTTGCGAAAAATAAAGCAATATATAAAATAATTATTATAATAAATTATTTATTATATTTGTAAAGTGAATTTAAAAAAAAAAAAGAAATATATATTATTATTTATTATTACAAACTCTGTTTAAAGTAGCCAAATGCTATTGCATTTTGTGACAATCGCCTCTCACTCTTGCAGTAGGTATTAGTATTAGTGCGTAGCAGAGAGCTGCAAATATTATCCAATTGAGTTTGCGTTTGAGCTGCACGTTTCTCTCTCACTAATGCTCACTCCTGGCGAGAGAAAGAGACAAAAAGAAACTAAGCGTTTGGTGAGTCTAATGCCGGTTATTGCTGTGCCAGAATGGGATGGCTATATAAGCTCTTAGCACAGGTTTTCTAAGCTTGCGTTTGACGAATGGGATGCAACTAATTGGGCAATCTGTTAAAATATATAAATATAATAATAAAAATGATAATTAAGTGGATATTGATAATATGATTTTTAAATTCTTAAGCGTATTTTTTAAAAATATACTTTTTATAGTTATTTTTGGAAATATATGTTGTTCATACACACATTTTTTCTTGCTGCCAAATGGCAGTGCACTGTGTTGCCTGCTTGAAAGGGCAACAAAAATCGAGCTCTTATATAAATATATGTATATATGTATATGTAAATATATATACATTCACGCCCACATGCCTGCACTTGACTAAGGGGCGGGAGCAATATAACTGTTATTGACACGGCATCATATTGAAAATATGCACTTTTTTATGCTGCTCGAAGTGAGTTGAGTTTTTCATTGTTGTTGTTGTTGTAGCTGCTGTTGCTGCTGGTTAGTGTTGCAGTTGGGTTTGTGTTGGGCGATGGGTGCTGGGTGGTGGGTGGTGATTGAGTCGGGCGGAGCCGAATGCTTGGGTAAATAAATGCGACAACATGGCGTCGCATATATCAAAGTGCACTGTTGTGCATATTTTATGTGGCCCGCCCACTCAGTGGCAGCCCATCATCATTATATTACACAGATAAACGCCTTAGGCAGCGGCAACTGTCAAATGCAGAGAGCTGAAAAGGCGTTTACCACTCAAGCGTGTGCTTTTATATATGTATAAGTGTGTGTATGTGTGTGTGTGTGTGTGTGTGGTTGCTCGCTGACAGCTTATGATTTTGTAATTAAATGCTGTTATAAGCAAACACCGATTGCACACCCAAAGGATATGCACACACACACACACACACACACACACACACACACACACAGATGCCATATAAATTTAGTCCTTGTGGCGATCAATCAAACTCAATTGACTTGGCTACGATTGCCAGGCCACATTCGACTCAGTATTTATGCGCTGCACTAATTAAAATCTATTTATCTTACAAAATATGCACATTATTATAAAGCATATATATTTCACACACACACAAACACACACATACACACAGAGGAAGAGACAGATGGGCAAATTATTGCTGCATACTTCCTGGCGCCATGTCGAATTCCTTTAAGTATTGCATTGATTAGGTGTAAATTTATGCACTGTGCATGCTCTTGTCCTGGCACCTGCAGTTATTATTGTTGTTGTTGCTGTTGTTGCTTTTGTTTTTGAAACAATTTGTGCATAATTTATCGACGTGCCGTTATCTGAAATTTGTGAGCATATTGTGGTTAAGAGAACTTGATTTGAGCCTCGGTTGCCCGGCGTCGTTCAAATTGAGGTTTGCATCTCCAAATTGTTTTGCTTTCGCAATGAATGCTGGTTTATTCGCATGTTAAGTGTCTCCTTGAAACCATATCGTAAAGTGGCTTTCGAATTTCGAATGTCGCAGACGGATTTGCAGCCAAAGAATGAATTCTGCCAGCATTTCAATGTGACAGCAGTGGAAGGTGTACTACAATTTGTTGAACACCAAACTGCCTTGAGTGAGAGCAATGCAGTACTTACTTAATCAAGTGATATCAGACTGCTGAACGATCAGTCAGTCTGAAAGCTCATCTCGTAGAGAGACATGCTGATGGAATGTCTTGGCTTGTGATAGAAGAATAAGAAGAGAGGTAAATACAGATATATATATTTATATAGTGAGTAGAGAATATTGTTAAGCAATGGATGATATTCGATGCTAGAACAGGGCTTAAAAATTAATGAATCCTTGGCTTGCTGCAATAAAATTGTCAATAGTGAGTAAATTGTTATCGTTTTAAGATTTAGTTATTAAAATGCTAGGTGTGTTTAATTATACTTTTTATCTTATAAGGAAAATTTCACTTGAATAATAATTTCTCCATCTCTTCTACTCACATCATTAAATAAGGAAACTATTTCTGTTGTTTCTTTAGCGAAATCAAAAGCAACAGCAACAGACATTGTACAAAAAAAATCTAATTGCGTAAATATACTTAATTCTAAAAATTAAAAATTTTATATTTAGCAATCGCCACTAACTGCAGTTCGCTTTAATTTAATGAAATATTGTGGAGTATGTTCAATTACTATCGATAAGCAAAGTATGCTCCACTCTCCAGTTAACATAGATATCTCTCCCAATTTCTCTCTCTCTCTCTCTCTCTCTCTCTCGCTCTCTCCCTTCTCTTTAAAAGCGTCTTCCTCTGAGCATCTCCTGCCAAAATGTAAATGCATAAAATGTTGTCAGCTGCTGGAGTCGGGCACTCGCCATGCTCAATTGGGCGGCAAACAGCAACAGTTACTCATAGACTGACCTACCGCAAGGCCTGCCAGCTCTCGCTGGTCATAAATCCTTAACTGACCCCACAAAAAAACAAAGACAGAGACAGAGAGAGGGAATACATGTGTGCACATGTGTATGTATATGTATATGAAAATATCAACCCGCTTTTTGTGGACGTGCCTGCATAATTTGCGTTGTCCTTTTCCGTTGGCAATTTTTCGTTTTAATTTTCATATCTGGCCGTCTCGCTCTCACTTAATTTTTGTGCTCACAACTGACAGTGAAATAAATTATTACGCTGTCATGTAAAAGCCGCAGAGATTAAGCAATTATGTGGCACTTAATGTTGGACCCGGCCCACAGCACTGTCCGCTTGTCCGCTGTCTTCCGCTCACTTCCATCTCACTGGTAATTTAAAGCAACCGACATAAATTTTTGATTGCCAACTAGTAAGGCTATAGATAAGCTCCATCCCTACTCCGCACTCCCACTCCCCGCTCCCAGCTGCAGCACAGGTGCTTCGTTACGCATGCTTAACCGCAATTTGATTGGCTGCTCGGCAAAAGTTTTCTGCAAGCAGTTGCTGCAGGTGGGCAGCAACAGCAACAGCAACAGCAGGAGCAGCAGCAACAGCAGCAGCAACAACAGCAGCAGCAGCAACTTAAGGAGCTGCAATATGAAAATTTCAAATGTACATTTTCGGCAGCTAAACTGTGAGCCAAAAGTTGGCCTAGTTGTTGTTTTTATACCCTAAGCTGCAATAATTAAGCTTAAGAATGGGGTAGCCTGTTTCTCGAAGGGTTTATGTGACAGGTGGAATAGGATGTGAATGGGTATGTTAATATAGGGCTGTCTTCACATAAATAGCTGTAATCTTGTGTTTCGACTCCAAAGTTAATAAATCATCTTAGAAAGACGATAATTGCTATAATTTATTATTACTATTAATTATATAAATTTAGAATTTATATTTGTATATAACAAATTCAGTAATATATTTATATGTGTGTCGAACAAATTAAAAAATAATAAATTTGTCATATATATAAAATTGCTCTAATTTTTTATTAATTTAGAATTTATGTTTATATATAACAAATTCAGTAATATATATAATATAATAATATGTATATGTGTCTCTCAAAAATAAAAAAAAAAATAATAAATGTGTCATATATATAAATTTTTAAGCAAAACTCTCCTCAAGGCATCTACTTCTTATATAGCCTCACCCCTTTGCCTCTTAATGGAAAATATAACTAGAGTTTGAGCATAGAAACTTTAGCTTTAGTTTATCCTACAATGAACTTAAGATACAACAGTAAACACATGAAATAAATATAAGCCAGACAAGAGCAGCTCGACGCATTGTTCAGGTATCTCTCAGTCAGGCACTTCCGCTCCGAGCACTTCTACTTGTTATTGTTGTTGTTGTTGCTGGCTGTTGGCAAAGTTTTGTGCGTGCGCGAAACCATAAAACCCAACGATGTGGCAAAAGCCTTTCTGACGTTACCACAAAATCGTTTTTCAATATTTTCGCTCAGCTGAGGGCAGCGCAGCTGAGGATTGAGTTGAAAATGAATTTTCTGCACTGCATTGATATGCATACGTGTGGATATATGCAAACATATAACTTGACCAACAAAACATTTTATGGCTGTATAGATTTTAATTTAACATTTTCTAATTGCCTTGTTGCTGCTGTTGTTGTTGCTGTTGCTGTTGTTGTAGTTGTTGTTGCTTAACATGGAACATTCTGCAAAACTGTCGCATGCAAATCAATCTCAGCTGTCGCACTCAGCTCGGGCCAGACAATTTATGCATGCTGCCAGCTTTTGGCTACACCATTGTCCTTGCGCCCTCAAGTTCTGGCATCTTCAAAACTGTCTTCTATGTTTCATTATATTTCTCTATTTTTTTTCGGTGACACTCTTCGCTCTCTTCAGTCTCTCTCGCTTTCTCTCGCTCAGCCTTCATTCATCTCTGTGCATTTTGCTACTCGAATAGAATTGTAGCAAATGCCATAGGATGGCTGCGAAACGATGCTGTGTTGTGCAGTGGCCCATGTCATTTGTCATTAAACACTTTGAGGGCGAGCAGCGGGTGGAGAACAGCAACAACAGCAACAACAACAGCAACAGCAAAGAAACAGCTGTTGACAACGAGCCAAGCTTATGGTTAACATGGCGTATGCGCAATATGTTTGCTTATGCACATCTGTCTGCCCCGGCTCGTACACATTGTTGAGCTCTTGCCCTCCATTTGTTGCTGTTGCTGCCATTGTTGAGATTTTGTTTTCCCCTGGATCTATCTCTATTTGTCCCCAGTCTCTGCTCAGTGTCGGCAAACCATAAGTAAAGATTTTAAGCGCATTTCCTCATGCAAATTCCATAGAAGCCAAGGAGCGATAGAGAGAGAGAGCAGCAAATGCAGCGTTAGAAAAATCATGAAAAATTAGTCTCTCTCTGCTTCTGTCTCTCTCTCTCTCACTCTCTCTCTCTCGCTTCCTCTCGAACTCCGCCTTGGGTACATGTAAATAAGCCATGCAGCAATAATTTTGCAATTCACTTAACCGCAGAAATTATTTACTTTTGGCCTAAAAGAATTATGAATAAAAAATTACAAAAAATAAAATAAAATCTCCATTTCAATCTCAAACAATTTCATGAATAAAAGCGCCGCTGGCTGTGCAAAGTGAAGCCAACAACAAATAGAAAAATACGAAAATATTGAAGTCTACTAAAAGTCTATCAACTAATCCACTCAAAGTAGCCCTAGCCACAGA